TGTACGCTGGAAGGGCTATGTTAAAAAAAAAAAAAAGACAGTTTAGAAGATAAGGTCTGTGTAGAAGACAAAATATCTCTTTTCTGAAAAATTAAAAACAAGGTGGTTCTATTTTTCTCAAAATTCCAGCAAGTACAGTCCCATGTTTGGTTTTGAATAATGAACTTCTGAAAGCGTGTAGCTCCATCAGAATTGCTTTTGCCATATCTATATTTATACCCCGTATTAGTGAAATTGTTCTTTTTGGACTGTAAAGAACACATGTATTTTACTACTGAAAACCAGTAGGGAATTAGACAATATATATGTAACTTCCATAAAGAGGGAATGTGGAAAAACTATGTAGATAGCCTCTTCTATTTTTTTTTTTTAATAAATAATTCTGTTCGTTGTTTCTCAGGGGCAGATGTGGCCTTTAATTTTTTGTGTGTTGTAATATTCTTGTTTTGTTTGTTGGGGTTTTTTTTGTTTGTTTCTTTATTATCAGGGATATTTCACCAAAAAATGGCAGTGAAGTATTTTTCTCACGTGAAATTTATGAAAAATATTCATTGGCTCCAAGCCTCTCTGAACTATGGCATTTATCAAACAGGTATATTCTGTTATGTTATAATTTTGTGCTGTTTGTCATCATCCTATTGATACATACCCTTACTGTTTTGGGGGAAAGCTGCATGTTATCTGGTGTGCAAGGATTTGTACTGACTCCTTGGTCCAGCAGTTGGTCTGTGCTTTACCTATTGTGAAACCTCAGAAAGCAGGAAGAGTCTAGGTTGGGACCTGTGGTCTTTTGTGTCTTTTGGGGTTTGGGGTGGTATTTTGGGGGGTTTGGGATGGGGCTTGGGTTATATTTTGGGGGTGGTGCTTGTTGTTTTTTGCTTTCTCTCATGTACCAAAGAGGGATGAAGTTTGACCCACACTCTTAACTGGTCACGGTAAGGATCCTGTAACCCATGAACCAGACCTAATTCTTTTTAGAAATTAATGTCTTGCTGTCTGTCCATGTCATCTCACTTCGTAGAAGGCTGATGATAGTGTACATTGAAATGCTTTTTACTTATATCTTTTGGAAGTAGCCAACACTGTTTACATAGATCCAACAGTGTCTTAGGTGCAGTGGAGATGCAATTAATTACTTGAGTAATGAAGAAACTGTATACAGTGTTGGCTGAAGAATGGGAATTGAAATTATGTGAACACAGGTGGTACAGGTAATATTGGTTGTGATGTCTTTTTTTATTTTCTTAAGTTGAGGAAGTAGAATCAACATTTGTTTCACATAGTGAAAAGCATAGCTCATGCTGCTGCATTTCAGAAGTTGGAGGACTGTATTTAGGCTATTGGTTTTTTTAAGAAGTCGTTAAGCTGGTAGGGAGGTACAAGTGACAAGTGTCTCATGGTGGATGAATGTTCACACCACAAAGAATGTAGATGGGTGACCAAGGTAGCTACTGTGCTCTAAGTGGGGAGTTCAGCATGTGGAGAAATAATTTGTTGTAAAGGGGAATTACTGTATTTTTATGAGCTGACACTGAGAACGCGCATTTGAGGGGAATACCTGTCTACATCACATGACTCTATATCCCACATCTTTAGCTAGAGAAGGCTTTTCTGGTTCATCTCTGTTAGAGCAACTTCCCTTGAACTGGCAGAGATGAGCACAGCCCTCACGGCTTGCTGCTGGGTACACTGGATACTACTGTAGGATTCTTCCTTTAGATGATGTAGAAAAAGGGTTTCTGGAGTAGACATGACTGCACTCAAGAGTGGGATTGTGTTCAGTTGTGTGTGGTAGAAATGGGTTTATAGCCAGAAGAGAGGTTGCAACCAGAAAAATTCAGAAATTGATGGAACTGAGTTGTGCGCTCATAGTCAAGAGGAAGAGAAATGGAACCTGTTGGGGCAAACGTGGAAGTAAAAGCTGGAGGAAATTTCTCAGTTTTTATGTTGGGGTTTCTGATAGATATTTACTGAAGTGTATGTTCTCTCACCATAGAAGCTGTGAAGGCAGGTTGCTGATAAAATGAAGGGGAAAAATTTAAGCCGTCAGCTCAAATAAAGTGTAATGCTGTAAATACGGACAGAAAAGTTCTGTCAGATTATTTTGGTTTGCACCCTGATGAAGACTGTGACAGCACTGTATACTGAAATGATCTTGATGTGCTGCCATTTCATTCTGTGCTGAATATAGCCAATTTAAGCTGCTAGAATTTCTTGATGTTTCTACATTGGCATATCTGAGTCAGCATCTTGTTGCTGCTGCAGCTTAATTAAATTTGCCAGTTTGTGCCACGAGGATGGACACATTCTCATATTCAGAGAGACAGCTGTGAAGTATTATTAAGAACTGTGGACGTGATACTGCTGGGTTTGAATAACACTTGAGATGTTTTCTACTGCTGAAATTGTATCTTAAAAATACGCTTTTTCCAAGATCAGCAGTTAATGTTCATTTTGTTAACTTTAAATATTTTCTCTCTTAAGAACAGTTATTTTAAATAGAGCAGGGCTAAGATGGCCTTCATCCACTGGAGTTGTTTTAAGAACCAGCTTTATAATGTTACTTCTTTGTGGTTGTTAGGGCAGCTACGCCCCTTGTCTTAGCCCAATATTATTTTTGGCAACTGATTTCAGCATTGTTTAGAGTAGAAAATGAAACTCTTTAATTGTGTACTCTGTTTTTAGGAATTTCTTCATTGAAATCTGGAATTTCTATTGTTGCAATTAATTAGTTTTAATTTACTTCTTTTAGAGTGAAAGAAAGGCTTTTTCTAGTTAAGTCTTTCTCCTTTACTGTCATAACTTTGACTCATAAGTTAGAAACAGTTTGCACTCAGAAAGGTCTGAACACCAGCCGTCAGTGAGTGACAAAATGTTGAGACTCTTTTCATTAATAGTGGGTGTTTCCAGAACAAAGAGTCAGAGTTTTGTATTTAGCTTGTCACCTCAATATTGAGTATACAGACTCACATAGACACTACTTTGTTTTTTTAAAAAAAAAAAAATATTTTTTTTTTTTTAAAAAAACAAAGTAGTGTCTATGTGAGTCTATCTTTAAACCAGTGGCAAACCTGCTGTTGGTACTAAGGGTTAGTCTGATTGGCCAGGTGAAGTTTCAGAATAAGAAAATTCCTATGACATAGACTAGGAATTGGAATAGTGCAGTGTCTCACAGCGCGTTTTGCTGGATTTGAAGTTTAGGCTTGAATGACTACCTTTATTAATTCTGATAAATATTAATATTTATGTGAAAATTGTAAGTTCTTCCGTTTATTACTTTTCTTTCAGAGAGACAAAGAAAAATGTGGAGGCATTGGCAAACTCTTTAGAAAACAGGCAGACTTGTGGCATGCAGGCTGCAGATCCAGTTGAAGTGGAGGCTAAAAGCACAACTGACGATTATCCTTTTCCAGAACCTAGACTCCCCTATCCATTTACCTCTTGTTTGACTGAAAAGGAGCAGAAAACATACTTATATCTGATGACTAAGTACTCAAAAAAAAAAAACCATTTTCAAGTTAATGCAGCAAGTCAAAGAGAATTATTCACGTATCTGGTAAGTGTGCATATATATACATGTGAACATCAGAGGGAGTAATAAAATTTTTTTTTTTACAAAAAGTTAAGGAAGATGTAGCAAAAATGTTTTTAAATTCAATTTGTCATAATTTCCTTTTAACGTAGTATTATGAATGGTAATGAAGGTTTGAAGTATTCAGGATAACATTTTTAATATAAATTGAAAGTGTATTTGGTTATTTCATTGAAAGTGGGTGGGGTTTTTGTGGATTTGTTTTGGTTTGGGTTTTAGTAGTAGTCTAAACAACTGATGGTAAGTGTAGTTCTTTGATAGCTGATCAAACACCTACCCACCCCCAAAAAAACCCACACTTATTTATGACAAGGAAGTTAAGAGTTGACCTTACTGTGATTTTAGCATTTCATAGTGGCATGTAGCAGCCTTGTATAAAGTTAGGGGATGGATACATTTTGATGTGAACTTTGACAGCACCCTGTAATGGGAACTTTCTTCAGTAGCATGTGAGGGGACCTGCATGTCAATGACCTTCTATGCTTGCCACATCAGTGCTTATGGGAGTAGAAGAGCACACACCAAGTTCACGCTTGCTGCTTGGTCTCAGCAATGTTTAAATAGCGAAAGGCTATATCTCATGTTGGTTGGAAGTATCATTTTAGTTGAATCATGTATAATGTAATTATAGCAAATGTTTTTGAGCCATTGCATTTGGTTTCCCATGCTTCCTTGTTAATGCTAATTCCTTTATTTTATGGTGTAACAATGGGAATGTCATTCCCAGGCAAATCAGTACCTACTCTGTTGTTGCTACTTATAATGTAATTGCTAATGAAGTTAGAGCTCAGGTACCTTTGTGGCTCCATCATGTAAACTTGCTCCAGCACTGTCTTGTAACCTTTCTTTTTATAAACCACCAGTGTATGATCAAAAGAAGCTTGCTGTTTGTTGGGGGTGGTGTTTTGTTGTTTTGGGATTTTTTTTTAAGAAAATGGGCCTTGCAAAAAATTTTTTTACTTAAGTGAAAGTCTGAATATATGCAAAGACTTGCCAAATTGAGTAACAAGGGAATCTGTGCCCTCCCTCATACATCACCTGTACTACCTCTCTGGAAATTTTGCTGCTTACATACCTAGTCTACAGGATTCCATTCTGTCTTAAAAAATAGATTTTTCCTTCCCCCCAGCAAATGAAAGAAGTAGTAAACAATGAAATTGCAGAATTTATGAAATTTGCCCAAAACGCTGCAAAAAGCTGCGCCCAAGATTATGATGCCATTTCTGAAGATGCAGTACATTACACTGAGGTAATTACCAATACTGTGTTTAATTCCTTCTCTTCTTAAATAATCATACTGGAATCTTGATTAAGGTATATAGGCACTGCTCATGGGATCTGATGTTTCCTGAACTTCTGCTGGTTCCACGTTGGGAAGTCGCCATTTCCCTTATGCTGTGCAGCATGGCTTGGCCTGCAGCTTATTGTAGCCAATAAGATACAATATAAGTGAGATCACTGAATACAATACTGTACAAAGATTTAGTCATCAATTAAGTAAATTACATCTTTGTATTTGGGAAGGGAGAAATTGCATTTTAAGTATGCATTTACATTAACAAGCTGCTCCTAAATACACACTACTGGACAGAATGTTAAGCTTTCCTCCACAGTAGCATGCTACAAAGTCACTTTAATCAGAGGTTACTCAGGCTTTAATCATAATCATCTGCAAGTTCATGCTGTGTTAAATATCTACTTTGATTCTAAAATCAAACATGAATGCAACTTTATATATCGTTCTTGGTTTAATAGCACATTTTGGGAAAAGAATTTCAGAATACAGGTTCGTTAAACTTTCCCGTCAGTGGGTTGACTTGCTCTTGCTTGTTTTCCTCATAGTGTCTTGCCTTAATTGAAATGGCCTACTTATATACTTTTTGTTAAAATTCCAGTCTTTTCTAGTAAGTGCCCCATCACTTTCTTTTACAGAATAAAACAGAAAAATAAATGTGTTTACTAGAGAGTAGAGCATTTAGTTAAATTCAGAAGGATTGCTTCTATTTCACCATAGCACTTTTTCATGCACAAGATAAATTTGTTCTCCCATTAACACACAGTTTGGGCACATGTGAGGACAAAAATCTTTCTTTTTTTCTTAAATATTGAGATTGGCTTTGTAATTTTATCTCTTACACTTGTGTCTGTTTTCTAAGTGATCTTGTTGTGTGGCCACAAAATGTGTCTCCAAACTTGAAGTCCTATTTATAGTTAAGTTGATATCCTGAGTTAAAAATGAAATGGAGGCACGTAAATTTTTAAATGATGTTTTTAAATAATAAATGTAAAAATAAATAAAAATAAAACAATGAATTAAAAAAAAAAACAAACCCACAAGTGTTTTAAACAATACTTCCAGAAATAACTTATTCTAGTTACTAAATAAAACCTAAATGTCTTAAATACGTAATTCAGATATCAGAAAAAAAATGTCTTAGGACCTAGAGTTGACATGAAAGCAAGTGTCAACACATAGGGATCCCTCCTGTATCTTTACCTTTGTGACTTTTACCTAGGCCTAGTGTAAGTTAGGTAGTAACACAAAAAAATAGTCCCTCTGAAAGCCAAGGTAAATAAACTGAAAAGAAAATAATTACCTGGTTTAGCACAGTTCAAACTGTACTAAACTTTTTTTTTTAGTGATTGGTCTGAGCCTGTGTACATACATTGTTAGCCTTGCATATGAAGGGTTGAGGAGAATTTAGAATATGTTTCAGTTCTGATGCCAGTGATTGTAAGATTATTATAGAGTTGTACTGCTATCTCTAAATTTTTAAACACTCTCTAACTGGAAAAGTTGTACAAGTCTGTTAGCAGTAATCTGCTAAATATATCTGTATTCTCTACAGAAAGTATATGCAAATGCAACTTGCAATTGCAGAAAAAATTTGAAATTAAATTCTTATGAAAGATACAAATGCATAAACTATTTTTTCTTTTTATGTTAGGAATTATTACGTGCTTGTCTTGGACATGTGCAAAAGTATCCTGAGTTTTACACGCTTCAGGAGATCATGAGTATCATGGGAGGAAAGTTTCATACACAGTTGACCTTTAGGCTGGAAAAAAATCTTCTTGTAATGGTAATATCTTACGTATCCATATTGGTTTGGTGTTATTTTCAAATAAGTAGAATTACATCCAGATTGTGTTACGCAAGGATTCAGGGTTTTTACAAGTATTATTCACTGCTTGGGTTAGGAGTTATAATTTATAATTAAAATTGTTAATGAAAACGTTAATGAAGTTATTTTGGTAGTAAGGCTGATAACATCCTTCACTGTATGTTTGCAATAAAGAGATTACATTAATAGTATACTTTTTAATATAACACGAACTTTATAATGCACCTGCATAAACTCTTTAATATTTTTCATTTTAAGAAGTGCAATATTGGGTCAGCGTGATTTCAGTTAAAGCTATTTTCTGATACGGCTTGATTTCCTCAAGGGTACGGCAAGACGTGGTAAAACAGATTTCCCTACCATGCCTGTCCAGCTGCCCACAGATTATAAAACTGTTACATCTATTATAACTCCAGAAAAAAAGGCTTCTATTATGCACAATGTGAGTAACCTTTTTATTGTCATTTGTAAGGGATATTTTGTAGAGAAGAGCTATTTGGTCCTTTTTATCTGGCAGCATTAAGTTTCTTCTTTTCTTTTTTTTTTTTTTCCCCCCTAACCTTACACACCTTGTAGCGTAGGAATATGTACTGTATCATTATTTGTTTAGTATTTAATTTATAGCAATCACACTGCCTTCTTCAAAAGTTGGGTTATTACCTTTTGGACCTCGTGCCTCTTGAAAGGACTTCCTCTGTTCCCTCAATGAACCATTAAAGAGGTTCTTAAATGGGAACACAGTGTCTGTGAAATCTAGATAGAATGGTTTATTACAGTGTTGTACTTTATAAACTTCACTTTGCAATTTCTAAGCTGGCTTCTGTGTGTGTGAGCGTGTATACATACATATGAATGCATGTAGGTGTAAAGGCTTCAGATTTAAGAAAGAAATCCTGAGGGTAAGAAGAAATACTTCAGACTGTCTAGTTTCTGAAAAGTTGATTAGGTTAGCTTACCCTGGGAATTTCTTTTGCTAAACAGCATAAACTCCGTTTCTGAGTTGAACAATTTTTAGATTCCATTCTACCTTACTGGTTAAATATCCGATGTTTCTGCTTGTGTTCTTCCACAGAGAAAATCAATGCATTTTTCATTCTGTAGAACTCTTTTTTTTTTTTTTTTTTTTTTTTTTTTTTTTTTGGTGACTGTGTATTCCAGATAATTTGTTATCCACTAATTTAAGGAGTTTGTTCACATATCAAAAACTAAACTTTCAACAGAGGCACTGTGATTGCAAAGACACTTTTGCTTAAGAAAGTAGCAGAGGTGACACAGGAGAATGATATATATACCTCAAGGGATGTTATAGCTATAAACAGCAAATATTTCTGATGGTGTCTCAGGTGGCAGAAAAAAGAACATAGCTAGTTTTTTCTTATTTCTCTCTCATGATTCTCAGTGCTCCTGGGCTTCCTTATCTTCTTAGTCTTTGATGTTCTCCTCCCATCTCGTGAGCATTCCCAGCCTCTTCTTGTCATGGAAACCTATACTCATAATGTTTAATAATTTTATCATTTCAATTCTGAATTTGTATTCTTCATGTTTTTATATTTGTTTTAAGATTCTTTATATGTAACCTGTGTTCAAACAACGGTGCAGTTTTAGCCATACTTTAATGTTAGATGTCTTTATTGGTCTATTACTTAACTTGTAAGAAGATCTGTCATGTATGTGTGAATGAATCTGGTGGGTTTTTTTTTTTCCCTTTCCTTCTGCAATGCACTCCCATATTTCACGACCATCCAAATTCCTATTCAACCTAGTAATTCAGATATTAATAGGAATGAACTGAAAGATACAAGTTAAGAAGATATATTTTCTCATGCTGCAAGGTGGATGCATAAGATTCAGGGGAATTTTTTTGCTTTTTCATTTGATTTTGAAGCCTGGTACTGTGGTGGTATTTGGGCTTTGAGTGGGGGAAGGGGGAGGG